TCAGCGGTTCAAATCTCACCGGCTCAGGGTTGACTCAGCCTTCCATCCTTCCGAGGTGGGTAAAATGAGGACCCAGATTGTTGGGCGCAATATGCTGACTCTCTGTAAACCGCTTAGAGAGGCCTGAAAGGCCTATGAAGCGGTATATAAGTCTACTGCTATTGCTATTGCTATCACCTGGATGTCAGGAGGGCGCTGCACATCTATCTGAAGCGCACCATGCCCATCAGGCGGTCGGAGGGCCTTTTCGTCTCCTACCACCCAGGAACAAGTGGAGCGAAGGTCTCCCCAGCCACCATCAGTAGATGGATCAAGCTAGCCATATCCAAGGCCTACGAGGCACAGGGACTTCAGGTGCCCAAGGGCATCACCGTGCACTCCACCAGGAGTGCAGCTACTTCGGCAGCCTGGGCCACCCAGGCCCCCATAGAAGACATTTGCAGGGTAGCAGCATGGGCTTCGCTCTCTCCGTTCATCAGACACTATAGACTGGAAGCCTTCGCCTCAGTGGAGGCATCCTTTGGGAGGAGAGTCCTCCAGAGATTACTGGATACTCGGGGGGATTCAGGCCCTATGGACCCTCCCAAGGGCATTTAGCTTTGGTAGGTCCCAGCTGTGACTCCTCCCACGCCCCACTTCAGAGACTGTCAGTTGGTCTTACCTGAACTGCATGTCTCGAACGATGGCGTGGGAGCAGTCACTTCCCGCCCATAGTGCGCCCCGCACAGGGTGGGCCTGAGTAGAGTGTTACCAGTCAGGGACCAGGAAGGGGGGGGGGGGGTTACCCTGTTCAAGAGACGCCTTGACTGGATCATCGGTTAATCTGGGAGAGTCAGAGGAAGGGTAGAGGTGTAGCCTCAAGATTTACTTCAGTCTCTGGGCAGATGGGCCGTGACAATACCCAGCTGTGACTGCTCCCACGCCATCCTTCAAGACATGCAGTTCAGGTAAGACCAACTGACATTCTTTTTTATTTTGAGAGCAGGGCTTATCTAATTGAAAGTAATTAAAAGGAGAAATCAAACAAAACTAAAACGCAATATTTAAAAATATTTCTTACAATAGGCAATTTTATAGACCAGGAACAAATTACTCTTTCATTTACCTAATGATGTGAAACCAATTTTTTGGTTTATGAAGCTTATTCCTTTTCTTAAATAATGAAATATAATGAAATTAGTGTATGCCATTTATGGCTTTGCTATATTTGTCTCTGGTTGAAAAATAATATTAATTCAAGTGAATTTAAAGCTGCTGTTAACATATGCTCCACAGTGCTGTATCTTGTCTCTTCATCTGTTTAAGGTGGACTGGATTTCAAACATTGGGGAGCAAGCCCTGGACATATGTGTTGTTTCATTTACTCAGCTCGTTTCCAGCATATTTGTTCTTGGGGAGAGAAATTTTTTTTGCTTTAAGGATAATGGACAAATTCGATTCATTAAAAAGCTTGACCAAAGCCCAAGTTGCTTTCTTCCATACTCAGGTTTGTGAATAAAAGCAATGATTAGCATTGTTGTAAAGCAGTTTTACAAGTTCTAATTCTAGCATGTCAACCAAGATTATACAATTGTAAATATTATTTGTCTGTAACAATACCTTTAACCTTCAGTGCTTTCTTTTTTTTGAATTTTTTTTATTTTTAAACAAACAAACATAAAACATAAAACCATTTTCCAGTTACATACAGTGTGTCGATTGGTTACAAAACTTTTGTGCTTTCTCACTTACAATTTATATAGAATCTCATATTATCAATCTGATATATATGTATACAATTATGATCATTATTAAACATTTTTTTGTCTATAACTATTATTACCTCTTTTTATGTGGAATATTTAGAATATTCTAAATTTGGAATAAATTTATATTATAGAATTTCATTACATCATCCTAAAACCATCCAGTAATAATACATCTTTATATTATATTCTGTATAAAATTGTTTATCTTTGGTTACAAAACTTTTGTGCACCCTGCCCGTAGTCCTCACTTACAATTTATATAAAATCTCTTATTATCAATCTAGTATATATGTT